ATACATACCCCTCAATAAAAGTTTGAGTCAGTTTATGGCTTTGTATTATGCAATATTTGGGTTTTGAATACCGATCTATATGAGAATTTGTACAATGCCTTGGGGCATTAAGATAAATGTAAGACACATTTATCAGCAGCCCCTTCAAATTGTATACAAATCATTAGGGTTGGAGGGTAAAATATATGCCCACCTACAGATGCAGGATCTTTAATTTGACCTATATTTTCACAGCAAAATAATCCAGGTTTTTAACGTTTAGTCCATAATGTTGCTTGATCGGTGGTTAGGCTATTTGCTAGCCAAAATGAGGCTACATTAAAAGTGCAAAAATGTTAATATAACCGTGTGCTAGTGTGGGTTTATAGTGAATGCATATAAATTATGAAGCTCATCTGCATTTCCTGTGGTGCAGGAAAATTCTCAGCACCAAAAGAGTGATCAAATTAGAATCCTACACCTATATTACATAACATCATTGATATCATAGGTGAGATGGCATGGTAGAAATGATATTTTAGGATTGAATTTCTTCCTGTGTTATTTAAGCAATAAGGCCCGAGGGGGTGTGATATATATATAGCCAATATACCACGGCTAAGGGCTGTTCTTAAGCACGACACAACGCAGAGTGCCTGGATACAGCCCTTAGCCGTGGTATATTGGCCATATACCACAAACCCCGAGGTGCCTTCTTGCTATTATAAACTGGTTACCAACATAATTAGAGCAGTAAAAATAAATATTTTGTCATACCCGTGGTATATGGTCTGATATACCACGGCTGTCAGCCAATCAGCATTCAGGGCTCGAACCACTCAGTTTATAATATCCATTGACACCTACTTGTCCAACTTGTTGTCCAACATGTACACTGTATATTACAGTTATTAATGGGGTAGGATTCACTCTATATTGTTGTTTTATATATTTTACATATTTTTTTACCCCCTTTTTCTCCCCAATTTCAATCTTGTCTCATCGCTGCAACTCCCCAACGGGCTCGGGAGGCGAAGGTCGAGTCATGTGTGCTCCGAAACATGACCCGCCAAACCACGCTTCTTAACACCCGCATGCTTAACCTGGAAGCCAGCTGCACCAATGTGTCGGAGGAAACACTGTTCAACTGACGACTGAGGTCAGCCTGCAAGGAGTGGGTAGAGCGCGATGAGCCAAGTAAAGTCCCCCCGGACAAACCCTCCCCTAACCCGGACGACGCTGGGCCAATTGTGCGCCGCCCTATGGGACTCCTGATCACGGCCGGTTGTGATACAGCCCGGGATCAAACCCAGGTCTGTAGTGACGCCTCTAGCACTGCGATTCAGTGCCTTACACCGCTGCGTCACTCGGGAGGCCCCACTCTCTATGTTCTATTGACATCAGTCCAACTTTCACAAAGTCTGTGCCTGTACCTGTCGTGTTTCCTGAACGGTCTGAGACCATTTGGAAACAAAAGAACAATCAGCTCTGTTTCAACAGGATTTTTAATAGGTGAAAGTCCTGTTGAGATCCAGAGTCTTCTCTGTTAAACTGTTTCAACTACTGAAGGAAAGATGAAAGGAAGGTCCATATGAAACAACAACAGCAAATAATTCAACTCACGCCAGTTAAAGGCATGAAAGGGCAAAAATGTGCATCCTTTCGTGTGTCAGAGTTGGTCGAACCATTCATACTGTACACAACTGAATCATGCAATGATTTGCAAATACGCAAATGTACATATTGTGTTACGTACAACCACAATATATGTTTTACAGTATTTCTTTGTCTCATTCCAACTGAACGTAGCTCTCTTGTCCACTGTATTATTATATTGATAAAGACGTCCCAGGGGCTATTGACTTGTCCCAGTTTGATTGAGGAAAGAAGGGTGGAGTTGTTAGCAGACATCCATGTCCACACATTCTCATTGGATCATTAGTTCATGTGGTTGTTTTTTATGTGAAAGCTCTTTCGCAATAGCCTTTATGCTGCACCTGTGATAGAAGTGGAATAATGAAGACCTGAAGCGATGTACTTAATTTTTTTGTATTACAAGTCTACTCTGGGCTAGACAGATACAGATACACACGGATATCACACACACACACTGTCTCTCTGTCTGTCTGTGAAGGTAGACAGTTCACTTATCACATTGTTTTCCACAATGTTGTATTTGGCGGCATTGCCTCTTATCCCAGCTTAGTTATTGTAGATTGTTATCTTCAACCAAGCAGCTTAGCAGGAAGTTAGAAGCTGATAAACATTCACTTTTTGCACCCGATTTGCAAGTGGTGCAGGATATGGTTATTGTGCCGGGACTGTAAAGAAAGGAAATCTACAGGCTCAATTCCAGCAAGTGTCGCTAAAATGGTATGTAGCGGTTTCATTTGAAGTGTTTGTGTGTATTATCTTTAGTTAGGATGTTCTATATCCTGTTCCAGACTGTCCTATAGTATGAAACAGACAGTGTCCTGTGCTACTGTGTATGGATACTACTGTGTGTACTGTGTTTTTGTTTAGACAGCCTTTATGTGATGTATGTTTTTATTGATTCTATGAAACCCTGGACTTCCTGGAAAACAGTGTCAAGTGTTACTGAGTAGACTATCCTGGCTAAATAAATCAATGAAAATAAATTAAATGACAGAATGTCGTGAAAAAATCTGACCACTTAGTTTTTTCTAAATACGAAGTACACAGACACCAAAGCACATTAAGCTACTCTTGTTCCAAGCGCAAATGGGCAGTGTACGTCATGGCTGGATAGGCTGCATTTCGCTGTCAGAATTCATGCCATAACCAACTGCGTTACCGCTAAAACCAGCTTTTGGTTGGTCTTAAATATCCCTACCAGTGCTGCCTGATATTAGCACTTTGGATCATGTTTTTAAGGACATACCTAAAAAATGTCCAACCCCTCCCATCAGAGCTGCATGCTGATGTTACAGGTAAATTGCTGAACCTGGAGTTAGGGTTGGAAAATGACAGTGCGGCAGTTTTTACATGACGAAATTGCAAACTAATGTGCATTTGACATTAGCACCCCCTTAACGCCAGCCAAAAATAGAACCCCTAGAATGAGGGACCTTACAGATGTTGTATGTATCGGGGACAGAGGAAGGGGTAGTCATTCAAAAATCATGTCAACCCCTATTACTTTTTTACATTTTTAGTCATTTAGCAGACGCTCTTATCCAGAGCGACTTACATTTAGTGAGTGCATACATTTTCATACTTCATACATTTACTTCATACATAGTCCATGTAATTGATGTGATTTGTTAATCCAAATGTTACTCCTGAATTAATTTAGGCTTGCCTAAACAAAGGGGGTGAAATTACTATATTAGTTAATTTTATTAATATGTAAACATTTGTAGAATTTTCTTTTCACTTTGACATTATAGAATATTTTGTGTAGATCAATGACAAAAAAAAAAATCACAATAAAATCTATTTCAATACCACTTTGTAACACAACAAAAAGGGGAAAAAATCCAAGGGGGTGAATTCTTATGATACCCACTGTATAGGTTGAATAAGACATGGACATACAGTACATTGTTGTATTTGCTTCTAGGTATGATATGTAATCCAATGATACTGTATAGATCTTGTAGAAAACTAGTATTATTTGGTGACCCTCACATTCCTTGTTTGCTCTCATTTGACCTATCCGCAGTAGGATTCAATAACTGTGGTTACTGACTTGTGGGCATTACAGAAATGTTCCTGTAATGTTATATCTGCCTAATGTTGTCAATACCATAGAATTACAATTAGAATATTACTTTGAAAGGATCTCTATGGTCATTGCCCAGGTGCTGTAGCAGCCTGATAATTTTCCTACCTGGCTGTTACCAGAGAGACATCTCAAATCAAATCAAATCAAATTGTATTGGCCACATGCGCCGAATACAACAGGTGCAGACATTACAGTGAAATGCTTACTTACAGCCCTTAACCAACAGTGCATTTATTTTAAATAAAAAAAGTAGAATAAAACAACAAAAAAGTGTTGAGAAAAAAAGAGCAGAAGTAAAATAAAATAACAGTAGGGAGGCTATATACAGGGGGGTACCGGTGCAGAGTCAATGTGCGGGGGCAACGGCTAGTTGAGGTAGTTGAAGTAATATCTACACCAGTGTTTCCCAACTCTGGACAAGCACACCTGATTCTACTTAGTCAACTAATCATCAAGTCCTTGACAAGTTGAATCAGGTGGTTTTGTTCGGGGCTACAACACAAATGTGTGCTGTTGGGGGGTACTTGAGGACCGGAGTTGGGAAACACTGATCTATACCATTCAGCTTGGCCGGTTTGATTTTGACAAGAATGCTCTACAGACTATCAGTAACATTTCAACAAACTATCTACAAATTGTAACCCTAACACTAACCCTTATCCTAACCCTAACCTTAACCCTTACCCTAAATATAAACCTTGTCCTAACCATAACCTTAGCAAGCAGTTGCTTAGCAACAGATAGTCAGTTGCTTATCAACAGATAATTTGTTGATAGTATGACCATCTGTAGAACATCTACAGATGAACTATCCAAATAAAGTATGACCGAATCTTTATCTAATCTTAGAGGTAATAGTTGAAGATGTTAAGGATTTAAGGTTAATGCATTCATCTGAGAATTAATGTATTCTATGTAAATGTACTACATCATTGAGCACACTTTATATCAGGGCTCTCCAAACCTGTTCCTGGAGCGCTACCCCCCCTGTAGGTTTTCGCTCCAACCCCAATTGTAACTAACCTGATTCAGGTTATCAACCAGCTAATTATTACAATCAGGTGCACTAGATTAGGGTTGGAGCAAAAACCTACTGGACGGTGGCTCACCAGGAATAGGGTTGGAGAACCCTGCTTTATATCAAGGACAGAAAAAAAGCGTGATGGGAACTAACCTCTATGGTTATTTGTTTAGCTGTGCCAAAAGCAACAGGTGTGTCTGTTCTCCATCTGGGTATTTATCTTTCTGGGGGGTTTTCTCTGTCTCTTCCCAGAGCTCAGACAGAGTGTTGAACCGCATCGGCAGTTTATTTTCCATAAAGAAGAAGAAGAGCCAGAGCGGTTCACTCTCAGCAGACTCAGAGGATGGATCCTGGCTAGGTCCTGGCTCTCCCGTCTCCCCCCAGTCCCCTGGTTCTCCTCTCTCCCCCCACCAACCACCAGAGGAAGACTGGCTAAGGACCCCCACTACTACCCGGAGAGAGGGTGAGGTAGTTGAAGCTGGAGCTGGGCCAGTGCGGGGAAGTTTGCCGGAGCTCCAGGCGGAGGGATCGGTGTTCAGTACCAGCTCCAGCCCTAGTACCTCCAGCCTAGCCTCTCTGGTGGTGGTGGACCGAGGGGACCTGCTGTTTGCAGGCAGCGACAGCAGTGGCTGTGGCAGCGTGAGGGAAGTGCAGGTGTGCAGGGTGAGCCGGGCCGAGGCAGAGTCAGACGGAGAGGCAGACAGGAATTATTGGAATCTGACTCCCACAAACCCGTCCTCCACCAGAGCAGACCAAGTCCCAGAGCTCAGCCCCACTGAGGACGTAGTAGGAGAGGTGAGCAGGAGGCTGCAGGTACATCTGGAACAAACCACTGTGAAAGAAGGCGAAGGGTCGGGAGGGGGCAGCCAAGTGGTCCAAACCACCCTCAGGTCGTTTGAGCTCTCCCAATCTCACCTTAAGACTGACGTCAGCTCTCTGGTCACAGAGTCTAAAAAGACCTCCCTGAAAACATATGTTGGAGGGAAGGGGAGTTACCTGGTGGGAGTGACTGTAGGCTCTCAGTCCTGCACCCCGTCCTCCTCAGATCCCCAGCCAGAGGGGGAGGACAGCCCAGCCATGGGAAAGAAGAACAGGAGGAGGGCTCTGAAATCCACCAGCAGCAGCTCGGCTGAAACAGCTCCCCCCACACAGACCACGTTACCTGGGGGAGAGGAGGGGACGACGCAGGACTCACCTGTGAAGCTACACAAAGCCTTGTGGGTGGAAACACACCTGAGAGAAGAGGAGGGGGAGAGGGAGAGTGCAGACTCGCATCCAGTCATGGCCATACCTGTGACTGTGGCCCCTGTGGAGTACCCTGATACTGCAGCAGTATCAGCAGCAGCAGCCGGTGGCAGAGAGCCAAATCCAGAGCTGGCTGTATCCACAGCACCAGCCTTCAGGGAGTCCAAAACAACAAACACAGCCCAGCCAGAGTCAAACAGTCCAGGCACAGACTCAGAGAGCAGCTCAGAGAGCAAAGAGGAGAGCAAAGAGGAAAAGCGCAGGAGTGTGAAACTGTCTCAAAGTGAGAAGCTTTTCCCTAAGAAGGTGTATGTGAGCCCTAAGGCCAGTTTTGATGGGGACGAGCAGACAAAGACAGAGCTGGAAAACAATGACATCATAGACTTGGCTTCAAAGATTCCTCAGAAGTCGGAGGTGAAACTGTAAGTGTCTTTATTTCAAATGTTGAGAGAGAGAGAGAGAGAGAGAGAGGAGAGAGAGGAGAGAGAGAGAGAGAGAGAGAGAGAGAGAAGAGAGAGAGAGAGAGAGAGAGAGAGAGAGAGACGAGAGAGAGAGAGAGAGAGAGAGATAGATATCTAGAGATCATCGCTATAGATAGCTCTCTCTCGCTATATCTCTCTATCTCTCTCTCTCTCTCTCTCTCTCTCTCTCTCTCTCTCTCTCTCTCTCCTCTCGCCTCCTTCTCTTCTCTTCTCTCTCTCTCTCTCTCTCTCTCTTCACTCAACCCGCGACTCTGAGTCACATCACAACAGCAGTTCTTGGTACAGCTGAAAATGTCACCTACATTACAAATACTTTACTTGGACTACATGATTACTGATAGGACTACTGTAGGCCATCCTGAATGATGACTCATGGCAGAAGTAACTAGTCAATTTGTTTGACTAAAGGGTTTAATGAATAGACTCAGTACAATGCTGATAAAAGTAAGGCACACCATTCTGATATCCACATATCTTTCAGATGTAGTAATGCCACAAGGCATGTTTTTTGTTGTATCATATGAATGTGATATAGCCTGTTTTTAGATTAAAACATATAGCTTAATGGAAGCAAATTAGAAAATGCTTGGAATTCATACAAGACTCTTGATGGATTAATTGTTCTACTGATACTTGAGGGGATGTTCTCCATTGCTGGAAGTTTTAAGTGAGAGCAGTTTTTCACAATCTGTTTGGTCAAGCTACTCAGAGCAGAAATATTTATTTCAGTTTCACTTTGCATGTATTGCTAATGGCTGTTTTTCCTTATCTGAATAATGTGTTTATTTGGTTTTATAGTGGTTGGTATAAATTAAGTAGCATATCAATGCAGTTAAACAACAACACCTGTTTGTGGTGACAGGTTTGTTCTGCACACTAATTTATTTTACCCTCCTGTCCTCAAAGTTAATCACTATTTTTCTCTCTTCTCTAAACAGCCTGCCAAGCCTCAAAAAAGTGAATGTAGACCTCAAGGAACCAAACAATGACTATGTCATCACTGCTGGAGAGATAACTGAGGGTACAGACTCTGATCGAAGACACCATGACCCCAAGGCTGTAGACAGTTCCCCAACGACCCCAACCCCAGAGCTGGATGAGGCCTCTCCAACCACAACCATGCCAGGATGTAAAATACAGCCCAACACAGGGGGGTCAAGGGTTAGAGGTCAGGGGACACCACAGGTCACCCAGTCTAAACCAGGGACAACCCAGGTCTCCCAGTCTAAACCAGGGACAACCCAGGTCTCCCAGTCTAAACCAGGGGACAAAGTAGGAAATGTAGCCAGTCGGTCAAAGAACCCACCTCCTCCGGTTGGACCCAAGTCCAAAGCTGTCCTGGGCATGGCTAAGGGAAAGGGTCTCAAAGATGGTGGCAAGGCAGGGATTTCTAGTGGGGCTCCATCACAAAGGACAGAGGTTATGTCACCTAAATTAAAGGATCAACCCACCGCAGGAAAAACAGAGGTCACCGACAGCCCCAAGTCGAGAATCCCCAAAAAGTCACAGACAGAAGCTGCATCAAAACCCCCACTGTCACCAGTCACAACCTCAGTGGTTGATGTTTCAGTGGCTCTGTCTCCTCCTGTGTCTGGTTCCAAACCACAGAAGATCCCTAAACCTAAACATTTAATGATTAAAACAGACAAAAAGCCTATCGCTGAGGAGGTGAAGGAAGTGGGTTCAGGGGGGAAACAAACTCCAGGGCCTGTTAAGTCAGAAGAGGTGTCACCTACTAAAGTACCAGTCTTGTCACCTGTGAAGTCCAGCAAAGAAAAGAGCAAAGAGAATTCAGATAAGGTAAACCTGGTCAATGGGCTGGAGAAAGACCTTGAGGACAACACCACTGCCACAGCCAAAACAAGTGAACCCAAAGATGTCAAAAAGCAAGCTCCAACATGCCCAGACAGCACCAAAAGCAGCATGATACCAAAGAGCAGGTTACCCAAATCCCCTGACAACTCATTGTCTCCGGTCAGAAAGATGAAAGATGGCAAACCCCAAACCATCGACACAGGCAGTAAAAAAAAAGAAAACACTGAGAGAGCATCAGGTGTCAATAGTAGGCCTTCCACACCAACCAGCCCAAAGCAGCAGGAGCTGCCCAGCCCAGAGGAAAGGCCCCCAGATGAGAGACTGACCCCTGAACCTGAGAAGGGTAAGACAAACGTGACATGCATTTTGAACATGGGATATTGATAAGATTCTGTCTGCTTATTTATAGCATCTGTCTAGCTAACACGTTTTAGCTATGTGTTTAGTAGTGGTAATGTTTCAGAATTATCCAATGGTTGAATTTCTTTGATGGACAAGAGGTATTGTAAATGTCACATATTTTAGAGAGAGGGATAGCTCTCATTTTGCAATGCATTGTGAAAACTAACCAACAAACCTCTATACTAACTGTCTGAATAACTATATTATCACCAACAGGAAGAAAGCTGCCTTGCCCTTTGCAAAAACATCTGCCCCAACAGGCCTCCAATAAGAGCACTCCCTGTGACTATGGGGACACACCCACCCCTCCCTCACTGGTACCAACCAAGCCAGAGAAACCTGCCTCCCTTGGACTTAAGAAGCAGAGTGAGGACAGGAGCAGTAGTAGTACACCTGAAACAAAACTGGATGCAAAATCGGAAAATGCAAAAAATAAATCTCTATCGGTCAAAACTACCTGTATTACACAGGAACAACAAACCAAACCATCCCCAGATCTCTCATCCGAGACAGAGAGTGACTGCAACTATGTGGAAGCCTTAACCGATACACCACTGCAGCAGATGGGTCCTGTGAGCCCAGGTGTAGTCCTGAAGAAACGGCCACCTGAACCAAGCCCCATTGTGTCTGCCTCAGGCAGACCTACCCATGAGGAAGTAATATATACATCCAACAAGACTGAGTTGACTGATCGCATTCATATTGACACTGAGACCCAAGCTAATCAGAAAAGTGATGAGCATAATGAAAATGCTTCTACAGCTTCAGAGAAGCTCTTACTTAGTGCTAGAGAAGGGATATCCAATACAAATCAGCCTGTGGAACACGGCCTGGATGTAGCAAAGGACAGCTCACCCAAAAACGCCTCCACTGTGGTTGAAAGTGGAGAGAGTCAAGATACGGCAAAACAGCCAACTCTCATTGGCTCGGAGGAAAAATCTAAGAAACTAGATAATGTTCAAACCCCAGATATAGTACCCATTGGTAATGGCATAGTTTCTGATATATCCATAGTGTCTGGGAAAGAGACTGAAGTACAGAAAGGGGGAGAGCAAGTGAAGGTCACCGACGTTATAACAGAGGCTGTGATTGTTCAGAAACCAATTGAAAATGGTGAGGTCCAACTGAACAAAGAGCTTCCTTCACTGACACAGAATTTGGCAGATGCACATAGCGGGCCACACAAAGAATACAAAGAGGACAAACCGGGTGAGGCAGCATCTAAGAGCACAGTTACTAAGATGGAGGTAAAACAGGAATCAAAGACCATAACTACAAAAGCTCAGAAGGAGAAAGTGACAAAACAAGAAGAAAGACCCAGCGAAGGAGCCACTAAGATATTAGACACAAAACAGGACTCAAAAACCATAAGCACAAAAGCTCAGGAGAAGAAGGTCTTAGTCCTCAAAGAACCCCCTAAAACTACAAAAGCAACCTCCAAGGCTGAGCTGCCTCTTCAGCCGCCAACTTCTCTGAAGCTCCCCTCTCCCCCTAAACCGCTCCATCTGAAACAGGAATCTCCATCCAGCTGGCTGAATGTGGAGCGCGGCTCCAAACGGGAGCAGAAGAGGGAGACCAAGAGGAGGCTGGACTGTTCAGCCAGCGAGGATGAGAGTCTGGCTGAGACTGACAACGTGGAGGACTTCATCAGGAGCATTAAGGAACTGGGCACCCCCTTTCCCCTGGCTCCCAAGAGGCACCACGACCATGCCAAGAACTCCTCGCCCCCCTTTGCCCTGCCCGCCATCAAGGAGGACCGCTTCGAGAACCCTTTTGACGCTGATGGCTTCCAGTTTGGCCTGAAAAAGAGGGTGAAGGATAAAGAAACCCCGGCCATGTTGATGAAGAAACAGGCCTCAGACAGGGAGGAGAAGACACAGACAAGACGGGCTAATGCAGAGGACAGCCTTCTCTTCAAAGCCCTCCAGTCTCCATCTAGAGCCCGGAGAAAACCAGGATGTCAAACAGACGGGAAAGATGGCGAGGTGGAAATGAAGGTAGAGTTGAAGAGGGAAGTAGAGAAGAAAGAGGAGCTCTGGGAAGAAACCGGGCAGATCACGTCGCGGCTAGGAAGGTCGTCCCTACTCTCCAACCTGTTGAGCTCCCCCAGGACTTCCAGAAGGGACAAAGGGGATCCTTCCTCCTCAGTCTCTAATGGTGCTCCTCCCTCTCCTACCACCCAGGGCACAGTGCCAGAAAGGGCGGGTGGGAGAGGTATGAATCCGGGCCTGCGTATGGGTGTGGTTGCAGCTGGTGAGTCAATAATCAGTCCCTCCTCACCACCTCCTCTCCCCTCGTTCACTGAGCTAAAGCTGCCAGATACCCTGGAGCAATATCTCAGGAAAGATAAAGGATCTTCACAGAGTAGCGCTACACAGAGTACAATGGCTAGCCCTGTAATGGGCCTAGGTCAGGGTACTGGACTAAAGGGACTTACCTTAGGACTTCATCCAGCCACCAACCACATCACACAGGCCCCTCTGATTGGTCTTCCTGCAGCCAACCCTAAGGTAAGAGTCTCAGACAAGACTGCATGAAGCCAACTGACAGTTTGGGGTTTTGCATCATTACTGCACTGTATGTATCTATGTTATTTTATTTATCCATCTAAATTCTCTATAGACAGGTACTTTGTACTAGATTTAGAAATGCTTTTTTTTCTATAGAGACTAGAAGTACATGATTGAGACATATTGAGTCTCTCATATTCTCTCAGTACTGCTTTACTCCTGGAAACAGAGGATTCACTTTTACAACTAAATTAGTTTTGACCTGCAGGGCGTTGTTTTATGGGCTGGGCAGATACTTCAGAACCTGTTCACTTTGTACAGGCATCTAAAGTATCTCCATGGCAACACGCCACTAAATCACCTCTGGTCCAGCTTTGTCTTTTGGAATGTTGAAATGCAATAAGTCCTAGACGTTTATAGCTCTTAGAAACAAGTCATGAATTGTTTGCAAGTCAAGACAAGAAGAAGAGGCATTCTTCAAAATAAACGTTTATATACGCCTTTGCCAGAATGACTCCATTTTGCACATACATTTTAATGCTCAGACCAGACACATAAACATGCAAATAGGCCTACTTCTCTCACGTTGTTTTGTTTACATGAGCCATGATTGCCATTTTACTTTCTGCCCAGCAAGCAGTAGGTTTGTAGACCAATGTTGGTTTGTTCTTATACACTAATGTACAATACATAGCATGTAAGCTGCTAACTATTGATGTTCTTAAGCTGAAAAATGTATAACTGGTAGTCTTTTGTTGAGTTAATTTTATCTGTAGGCAGTCTAGAGTTCTGCCGGGAGTACAGGAAATACACAGGATACTTCTGCTTTTCCACCCCCAGTCCCTCAGAAGAAAATGAAAGACGGCATGCTTTCTTTTCCTTTTCAGATTCCAGAAGCGAGAGGGTTCCACAAACGGCCTGGGAAGGTACGATTGACCTTACATTCAAAACAAAATACTGTCTCCACCATCCAGTGTTTTATAGTAACACGATATGATGCAAGGTCTACAAGTAGTTGTGTGTTGGGGAGTTCTACATTATTTATTCTCAAATACTTTTGATATTTTATGGTGATAATCTGAAAATATATTTCATGAAACAACATCTGCAGTATTCAACTCAGTCTATTGTATCAGAAATTGCAAGAGACCATGATACAATCACCAAGTGTCACATGTTGTAATGACCATGAGATATACTTACTGTAAATCTCTACATCCTGTTGTAGATAGTGCTCCATGAGCAGGCTCAGTTTGGAGGAGAGGCCTACGAGGTGTTTGGGGATGTGGAGGATGCCTCCATGATGAAGCTGTCTCCTGTCATCTCAGTCAGGGTCATCAGGGGATGGTAAGACTGTTTGTCGGGATTGTCACTAGTTACCACAGCCACAAAGTAAAAATGGTCTATATAATAATTTCTGGGTTGTTGCTTTTTGGTCTTAATTTAAGGTAAGGCATAAGGTTAGTATTGTGGTTAAGGTTAGGTCATATTTTAAGAAATAGGCAATGACTTTGTGGCTGTGGTAACTAGTGACAACCGTTTGTCGGGGACAAACTTCATTCCTCATTCCCTCACTCTGTATTCCATCAATAAATGCTTTATTTCATACAAATCTTCCATTGTTAACTTGTCACAATCCTGTATGACAGTATTAATTGATTCATGACAGCATGACAGCAACTCAACATTTTTGGACTGTTAGGAACATGCCTCTCATTGTGTCATCACGTCCTGTCCATGTAGCTGGCTGCTGTATGAGAAGCCAGGGTTCCAGGGGCGGACCATCGCCCTGGAGGAGGGGCCCATGGAGCTGGTCAACGTGTGGGCAGAGGAGGTGACACCAGGGGCACTGGATCAGATTGGTCTGCCTGTGCCAACCTCACCCATGGTCATCGGATCTATCCGCCTGGCAGTGAGGGACTACAGTCTACCTCGGATTGACCTGTTCACTGAGGTGAATGGTCTGGGGGGAATGACATCATTCTGTGACGACACCATCGAGATCTGCTCTTACGGGAACATACAGAACACCGGCTCCATCAAGGTCCACTCTGGAGTGTAAGTTCTACCTTCATTGTAGATTCAAATCTTAGTCCAGAATTTGCTTCATTATTCATTTCAATTCAATTCAATATACTATACTCACCCCAGCAGGTTTGCTATTTTTCAAAAGCGTGTTGAAATGGATGACACAGTATGCAAACTATAATTTAGCATTTTCACTCACTATAGTGTGCATGCGTTATTGTTAGCAATTCTTGTCATGGAGGCTGGTCTTTCTTCACTTTCCTCATTGGAATGGCCTGCATAGGCTTGTTGGAATGACATAATCTGCTGTTAGGAGATGTTATCTCAGTCACACACACATTGTTGTTTTTTGTAACAGTACATTGGTGTTGCTACACTCTTAGAAAAAAAGGGTTCCAAAAGGGTTCTTCGACTGTCCCCATAGGAGAACCCTTTTTGGTTCCAGGTAGAACCCTTTTGAGTTCCATGTACCCTTTGTGGAAAGGGTTCTAAATGGAACCCAAAGGGGTTCTACCTGGAACCAAAAAGGGTTCTTCAAAGGTTTATCCTATGGGAACAGCCTTTTAGGTTCTAGATAGCACCTTTTTTTCTAAGGGTTCATTTTAGACATAGTTTAGTGAATCTGCTCATGTCTGTCTTCTTAGGTGTGTTCGAGAATCATAGTGCTAACGCCCTGAAATTGTATTTGGATGTGTTTTAAAGTAAATATTTACATGACAGCTGAAGAACAAGGGTGTGATTTAGTGTCTTGTACAAGTGTCTAATCTTTGTGTGTGTGTGTGGCCCTTGTCGTCATCCCATAGCTGGCTGGTGTATGGTGACCCAGGGTTTGGGGGTCTCCTAACGGTGTTGGAGGTGGGAGAGTATCCCTGTCCAGAAGCCTGGGCATTCCCTCAGCCCTTCATCGGATCGCTGAAAACCCTCAAAATGGTACCGGATTATTATGTCATTCTTACTTATCTTTTTAAAAACACTTTCCCCTGACTGTATATTCTACTGTTTTATCTCTATGATGTTAAAGGCCTGTGTGGTTTTCCGTCTCTTACAGGGTGGGATAAAGGTGGAGCATCCTAATGAAGTAAAGGTATGCTTCCCCTCTTTGAATTATTCAGTTGTATAGCTATTCCCATGACCATTCATATTTACATCAGTGTTTAAGGATAAAAAACAACATACAGTCTGTGAATGACAGTGGAAACTTTTAACAACCCCAAGCGCCTCTTACCACAAAACCTCATAATATCCAAACGCTTGGCTTTTTTTCTGAAGACTAGCTGTGATATGATGGGACGGCATATTATTATAGCACAGCTGTCATCCTAAATTTACATTTTAGTCATTTAGCAGACGCTCTTATCCAGAGCGACTTACATGAGCAATTAGGGTTAAGTGCCTTGCTTAAGGGCACATCGACAGATTTTTCACCTAGTCTGCTCGGGGATTAGAACCAGCGACCTTTCGGTTACTGGCACAACGCTCTTACCCACTAAGCTACCTGCCGCCCTAATAACATCTGTTCATTGTGAAACAGACCTACAGGCCTGTTGTTGCAGGTGGATTGGCTAGTGACTAGTGAGAGAACTATGTGTGCCCCGGTAGCTCTATGGGCACATAGCACAAAAGTGTGTTGTCTCTGCATGCTCTCTTTCTGTCTAACCCAGCAGTCAGCAGAATGTGCTGTGGTTGCCAGTAGAGCTGTTTCTTTAGGACATTCTGGCTGTCCGGATGAGGGCTAAAATATAGAAATATGCAAGCGCATTTCATGGGTTTCAAGGGGCTGATAATGTAGTTGTTTGGCTCAATATCTGCTGAACATTTGTTTAACCATTAAAATGCACAATTGATTGATGGTTTAAGAAAAGTACCACCTAGCCCTCTGGGCTTAATATTGCACTGTCAGACAGACAGGCAGAGGCACGGGGCCTAGGGGGGGTGGAATCTGTGGTATGAGGAGCATGTAGCCCTTGGATGGGGACAGGTATGGACAAGAGCACTCTGCCCACCTCAGCACATCAGCCTCAACTTTAACCCCTTCTCTCCCCTTCAGGCTCTGGTGTACGAGAGGCCGTGCTTCGAGGGCGAGTGTGTGGAGATTGACAATGATGTGTACAACTTCAGAGAGGAGGAAGAGGGGGGGGAGGAGGAGGAGGAGGAGGAGGAGGAGGCAGAAGTTAATCCAGTCAGAAGGAAGACATTGTGTTCTGTGGGATCCATCAAGATCCTTCGTGGACTGTAAGTACTTGTGGTTGATCTCAGCTGACATACAGTAGGGGATAGTATTGTAATGAAATGACTCCTCCTCTGCCCATATTAACCTGCCATAACACAGATTAACGGTCTATTAATTTGATACTGTATTTGGTCAGATCTATTCTAACATCACCCTATGGGCTCTACTTTAACAAACCTAACGCAATGGTAAATCTAAGCGCAGGCGGTAGCGCTATAGGTTCAGGGGTGTGTCAAATATTTTTGCTATTTTCACTATCACAATTATCGGCGCACTTGCTGATGTTGGCACGAAAGGGCTGGGTTTTGATGAATAAACAAGTTGTGGGTGTGTCAAGGCTTGGCCCCTCACTTGGCAATCAGAACGCGCTACATGGCGAAAAATGTGGTTGCTTCAAGTTGTGTACTTACAGTATTTTATGTATTGCCTTGGAATCAACTCCAATTCCAATGTTAATCCGTTATAGTTTGTTAAATGGCTTACAGAAACGAAATAACAAAATGTAGACCTATCTTTGCTAAATACGTTAACTTGAACCCATTTGCAGTCCACATTGTTCTAAGTAATCGCATGGCTTCAATAGCATTCACACTGATGTAGGGGCTAGGCCTACTGTAAATTGCATTATGGCTGAGCATGGACATGCTAAACATTGTCAATAAGCAAGATTAAATAAATTATTGATAAGGCCTAAAAAGAGAACAAATCATTAGAATCAAATTCTAAATTAAACAACAACCTGTTTTAATTGGGCTATGTCACACTTACAGGCACCAACATTTCTCCCCGTGGGCATATAATATTAAAACAATGCCGACTATGGAGGGTTTTATGGCTCATCCAAACTTTTCACAGTAGCTGGGCAAAGATCCTAAATAAATAGAAAGGGTGAATGTCCACTCACCGTTATACTGCTTCCAAATAGGCCTATGTTTTATTAACATAATCTGAACCATTTTAGAGATCAGATCGCATTCACACATCTCCAGAATTTGCATTGCATGCGCGCCACGGACATTGTCACCAGAAAACCGGGAAAGGTGAATCATTCAAATAAGTTTGGTTGTAATAAATGTAAACGAAAAACAAGCAACCCAATTTGTTTTTTACAACAACAATAAATAAATGTCAAATGTAATGATGTCATAAAATCTCTAGGATAAAAAAGACAGATTGCTGTTGAACCAGCCTTCGTTATAGTAGGCCTAAGGGAAGGCTTGGGTTTTGAACATATGAAACGGAAAACAATAAATTTTTACCGGTTACAGATAACTTCTAAATACGAGGTTCACTGGTATTCACAGAGGTTCTCATCTCTCGTTTCATGATGGGCATGGACACGTAGCCTACATCATGGAGGGGGTTTTGCGCATGTCCAAAACGGAACCTGCATGGTTAAAATAATGTGGGCCTGCTTACAATGCATACAGTCGTGGTCAAAAGTTTTGAGAATGACAAAAATACAATTTTTCACAAAGTCTGCTGCCTCAGTTTTGATTATGGCAATTTGCATATACTCCAGAAAGTCATGAAGAGTGATCAGATGAATTGCAATTAATTGCAAAGTCCCTCTTTGCCATGAAAATGAACTTATTCCCCAAAAAACTTTTCCACTGCATTTCAGCCCTGCCACAAAAGGACCAGCTGCCATCATGTCAGTGATTCTCTCGTTAACACAGGTGAGAGTGTTGACGAGGACAAGGCTGGAGATCACTCTGTCATGCTGATTGAGTTAGAATAACAGACTGGAAGCTTTAAAAGGAGGGTGTGCTTGAAATCATTGTTCTTCCTCTGTTAACCATGGTTACCTGCAAGGAAACACGTGCCGTCATCATTGCTTTGCACAAAAAGGGCTTCACAGGCAAGGATATTGCTGCTAGTAAGATTGTACCTAAATCAACCATTTATCGGATCATCAAGAACTTCAAGGAGAGAGGTTCAATTGTTGTGAAGAAGGCATCAGGGCGCCCAAGAAAGTCCAGCAAGCGCCAGGACTGTCTCCTAAAGTTGATTCAGCTGCGAGATCGGGGCACCACCAGTGCAGAGCTTGCTCAGGAATAGCAGCAGGCAGGTGTGAGTGCATCTGCACGCACAGTGAGGCGAAGACTTTTGGAGGATGGCCTGGTGTCAAGAAGGGCAGCAAAGAAGCCACTTCTCTCCAGGAAAAACATCAGGAACAGACTGATATTATGCAAAAGGTACAGGGATTGGACTGCTGAGGACTGGGGTAAAGTAATTTTCTCTGATGAATCCCCTTTCCGATTGTTTGGGGCATCCGGAAAACACCTTGTCCGGAGAAGACAAGGTGAGCGCTACCATCAGTCCTGTGTCATGCCAACAGTAAAGCATCCTGAGACCATTCATGTGTGGGGTTGCTTCTCAGCCAAGGGAGTGGGCTCACTCACAATTCTATCTAAGAACACAGCCATGAATAAAGAATGGTACCAACACATCCTCCGAGAGCAACTTCTCCCAACCATCCAAGAACAGTTTGGTGACGACCAATGCCTTTTCCAGCATGATGGAGCACCTTTCCATAAGGCAAACGTGATAACTAAGTGGCTCGGGGAACAAAACATCGACATTTTGTGTCCTTAATCCCATTGAGAACTTGTGGTCGATCCTCAAGAGGCGGGTGGACAAACAAGAACCCACAAATTCTGACAAACTCCAAGCATTGATTATGCAAGAATGGGCTGCCATCAATCAGGATGTGGCCCAGAAGTTAATTGACAGCATGCCAGGGTGGATTGCGGAGGTCTTGAAAAAGAAGGGTCAACACTGCAAATATTGACTCTTTGCATAAACTTAATGTAATTGTCAATAAAAGCCTTTGACACTTATGGAATGCTTGTAATTATTCTTCAGTATACCATAGTAACATCTGACAAAAATATCTCATAACACTGAAGCAGCGGACTTTGTGAAGACCAATACTTGTGTCATTCTCAAAACGTTTGACCACGACTGTAGATAAAAAGGGAAGGTCAGCTCACTGTTTAACTCATCTCAAACTTGATATTTTACTAAAGCTTTGGGAATGAAGATTTATTTCCAAGTGTTCTCAGGAGCCAAACCCTTTATTGACAGTCTTGATTAATTTGCAATTGCATTGGGCAGACAAAAAAAAGCCTTTATTGAGAGGAGGGGGAGGCTATGCTTGTTTTTTAATCAAAGAATACAAATTAATTTCTAAATACGAATTATACAGGCACCAAAAGCACATTGGGCTACTTTTGTTCCATACGCATATGAGCAGTGTGCATCATGGCTGGCTAGGCTGCATTTCTGCTGTCAAGATTCATGCCATAACCACCTGCGTTACCGCTAAAACCAGCTTTTGGTTGGTCTTAAATTTCCCCATCAGCACTGCCTGAAATTAGCACTTTGGATCATGTTTTTAAGGACACACCTCAAATATTTCCACCCGCCCATCTGAGAGCAAGCGAGCTGATATAAGACCGGTAAATTGCCAAACCTGGCGTTAGGGCTGGAAAATGCCAGTGCCCCGCTTTTTACATGACGAAATTGCAAACTAACGTGCGTTTGACACTAGCGCAAATAGAGCCCTCTGTGTTTCTGATTGCCCCTGTAGCTGGGTCTGTCACAACTTCTTCCGAAGCTGCCTCCTCTCCTTGTTCGGGCAGGCTTCGGCGTTTGTCGTCACCGGCCTTTTAGACACTGCCGCGCCTCATCTCATCATTCCATTTGTTTTGTCTTGTTTTTACACACACTTGGTTCATATCCCCTCACCAGTCCTTCTATAAGTATTCCCTCTGCCCCCCATGTCTTTGTGTGTGATTGTTTATTGTGGAGGTGACGATAGCTCGGTGGAGCTTTACATATTGTATTCGCCGGGATATTCACCCGTGTGCTTTGTTTTCTCCAGTGCTCCGTTATACTGCACTGTAGAGTTTTACGCATTGCTGCGTACCGCTCTATTTTCCGAATAAACAATTTATTCTGTGATTTACCCTCCTGCGCCTGAGTCCGCCCAAATCACCCGCTACAGAATCACGCACCCAACAGCATGGAGTCAGCAGGAGCAGGAAATATGCCTGGAGTCGTTGAGCGGGTCCGGGAGCATTCCCACATGTTAGCCGGTTTGGAGAGGACCTGACCCTTCGGAACCAGCTGAGCGACCGGATCCAGCCACCCACACCCCAGCGCCCAGAGGTATTCACTTGGCTCGACCGAGGGAATACGACGGGCAGCGGCCAGCTGCCAGGGTTTCCTCCTGCAGCTAGACCTCTATTTTACCAACATCAGCCCGGCTCCATCGGATCGGGAGAAGGTGTCCTCCCTCATCTCCTGCCTCTCGGGGAAAGCCCTGGAGTGGGCCAACGCGGTCTGGAGTGAAGGAGGAGACGCGTTGGACAACTACGGGGAGTTCGCTTGCCTCTTCCAGGCAGTCTTCGATCATCCCCCTGAAGGAGGAGAGGCGGGCGAGCATCTGGTCCATCTGAGGCAGGGGACGAGGACCGGGCAAGACTTTGCCCTGGAGTTTAGAACTCTAGCAGCTGGGTCTGGGTGGAACGAGCGGGCCATCATCGACCGCTTCCGGTGCAGCATGCGTGAGGACGTCCGAAGGGAGCTAGCCTGCCAGGATACCACGTTGACCTTCCACCAACTGGTGGACATGGCCATCCGGCTGGACAACCTGCTGGCTTCTAGAGGACGTCCTGGAAGGGACGTTTCAATACCCTTGAACCCGGACCGGGTTGCGATGGAGCTGGGTGGTGCAGCGATCCGGGAGAACGGAGGATGACAGATCCAGTGTCACTCTTGTGGCAAGAGAGGACATTCTGCTAAACTCTGTCGTCAGAGTTCTTCTGGATCTGGAGGTGGCAGGCAGGGCACTCTCGCGTCACCCCAGGTAGTGCAAACCCACACTCGTTCAGAGCCCTCTGCTGCGCACTTCACCATCCACGTCAACTTCCCTGATTACACGGTAGTTCCCCAGTGTGAGGCGATGGTCGATTCAGGTGCAGCTGGAAACTTTATGGACAGGTCTTTAGCTAATAGTCTATTTACATTTTACATTTTTGTCATTTAGCAGACACTCTTATCCAGAGCGACTTACAGTTAGTGAGTGCATACATTTTTCATATGTTTTTCATACACTCTCGCGACCACCCCGTTAGAATGTATTACATTGGTTCCCCTATCCATTCCATTGCCCATCAAAGTACTTGACAGTCGACCATTAGGGTCAGGTTCTGTTAGGGAGGGGACGAGTGGAAGACCGCATTTAGCACAACCACGGGGCATTATGAATACCTGGTGATGCCGTAGGGGTTGATGAATGCTCCATCAGTCTTCCTTTGTGAACGAGGTGTTTCGGGACATGCTTGGTCGTGGTGTGGTGGTCTACATCGATGACATTCTGGTGTCTGTTCTTCCAACAGTCCGTCTTCTTCTTAGGATACCACATCACCACCTCAGGTGTGGAGATGGAGGGAAACAGCATTTCAGCCTTGCGTAATTGGCAGACTCCAACCACGGTAAAAGAGGTGCAGCGCTTCATTAGCTTTGCCAATTACTATCTGAGGTTTATCCGGGGCTTTGGCAAGGTTGCAGCTCCCATCACCTCTCTGTTGAAGGGTGATCGTCCCGGCTCCGCTGGTCTGCTGAGGCTGACAGGGCTGTCTGTAACCTGAGGGCTCTGTTCACCTCAGCCCCGGTACTGGCCCATCCCGATCCATCATTGCCGTTCGTAGTGGAGGCGCTGTCCTATCCCAACGCTCGGGCACGCCACCCAAGCTCCGCCCCTGTGTCTTCTTCTCTAAGAAGCTCAGCCAGGCGGAGCTGTTGGCTGTTGGTGATCGGGAGCTGTTGGCTGTTGTCAGAGCCCTGACCGCGTGGAGGCACTGGCTCGAGGGGCAAACACCCTTTCATCGTCTGGACTGACCACCGTAACCTGGAGTACATCCAGGCAGCGAGGAGGCTGAACCCTCGCCAGGCCAGGTGGGCCTTGTTCTTCACCCAGTTTGATTTCATGCTGTCCTACATACCAGGCACAAAGAACGTGAAGGCAGACGCACTGTCACGGCTGTAAGACACAAAGGAGAGGCCCATAGACAACACCCCCATACTCCCGGCCTCCTGCATTGTGGCGCCGGTAGTGTGGGTGGTGGAAACGGACATAGTTACGCACAGAGCCATCTCCACCTCAGTGCCCAGCTGGGCTGCGGTACGTGCCGTCTATTGTCTGTGATCGTCTTATCTATTGGGCACACACGTGCCCCTCCTCTGGTCACCCAGGCATTGGCCGTACAGTGCACTGTCTGACCGGGAAGTACTGTATGTCTCCTCCTGCCCGGTGTGCGTCCAGAGTAAGGCACCTAGGCACTTTCCAGCGTGTAAGTTACATCCCTTACCAGTTCCACAACGGCCATGGTCCCACTTATCAATTGACTTCCTAACTGATCTTCCCCTCTCTCAGGGTAACACCACAATCCTGGTCATTGTGGACCGCTTTTCTAAAGCCTGCCGCCTCCTTCCTCTGCCCGGTCTCCCCACGGCCCTGCAAACTGCGGAGGCCCTGTTTACTCACGTCATCCGGCACTACGGGGTGCCAGAGGACATAGTGTCTGACCGGGGTCCCCAGTTTACGTTTAGGGTCTAGAAGGCATTCATGGAACGTCTGGGGGTCTCGGTCAGCCTGACCTCTGGGTTTCACCCCGAGTCTAATGGGCAGGTGGAACGGGTGAATCAGGATGTTGGTAGGTTCCTGAGGTCCTACTGCCAGGACCGGCTGGGGGAGTGGTCGGTGTTCTTGCCATGGGCCGAATATGCCCAGAACTCTCTCCGCCACTCCTCCACTAACCTATCTCCATTTTAATGTTGTTTTAGGGTATCAGCCAGTTCTGGCACCGTGGCATCAGAGCCAGACCGAAGCTCCTGCGGTGGACGACTGTCCTTGTTCGGGCAGGCTTCGGCGTTCGGCGTCACGGCCTTCTAGCCACTGCCGCTCCTCTTCTCATCATTCCATTTGTTTTGTCTTGTTTTTACACACACCTGGTTCATATCCCCTCATCAGTCCTTGTATAAGTATTCCCTCTGCCCCACATGTCTTTGTGAGTGATTGTTTATTGTGGAGGTGACGATAGCTCGGTGGAGCTTTACGTATTGTAATCGCCGGGATATTCACCCGTGTGCTTTGTTTTCTCCAATGCGCCGTTATACCGCACTGTAGAGTTTTACGCATTGCTGCGTACCGCTCTATTTGCCGAATAAACAATTTATTCTGCGATTTACCCTCTATCACCCTTTGTGTTCCTGATTGTCCCTGTAGCTGGGTTGGCTATGATGAGCCAGAGTTTGAAGGTCACCAGTATCTCCTGGAGGAGGGGGAGTATCCTGACTGGAGGGAGTGGGGAGGCTATGGAGACCAGCTCCTGTCACTACGCCCTGTCCGCACTGTAAGTACTGGAACTCTCATCTATTCAGAGCCATGGTAGAATATATAGAATGTTTGTGATGATTGAAGTACCTAGACAAAATAAAGTCAGTTAATGGTATAGCTTGTCAAGTTTGGTCTTTGTAAATAGAGATCATTTGGGTGTTTTTTTTTTCACATTCCCTGTGTTGTAGGATTTCCTGTCTCCCCATGTGAAGTTGTTCAGTGAGAGGGAATTTGGGGAGAGAGGGGTCAACGTAGACCTGCTAGGGCCTGTCACTAACATGGAGGGCACCGGCTTCGGCCCCAAGACACAGTCCATCAATGTCCAGGATGGAGTGTAAGTCAACTTCCCTGACGGTCCTATGTAGCAGGCTACTGCATCTATTGAAATAACTCAGTGTGTCACAACTGCACCAGGACTTGGGCTTGCTCTGCTATAGATATATAGGTGGGCCACTTCTATCCTCTTTCCTCTGTTTGCAAGCTTTTAATTAACACACACACACACACATGCACACACAGGCACAAACGCGAAAGACGGGTGTTAATGTCACGCTTAGTAAAGTGATACTGAAGGTTAGACAATAGGTGGGAAAATGAGATCATTCTCTAGGGCTATATATTCTTAGAGAGGAGATTAGATTCTAAAGGCACAGTCCTGGAGTCACAATTCAAACTGTATAAGCTTTGTACATGTTTCAGTAAAGAAAGGGAGTTGCCGTGTTCCAGACATACCTGGTTCTCTGTAGCTCAATTGGTAGAGCATGGCGCTTGTAACGCCAGGGTAGTGGGTTCGAACCCCGGGACCACCCATACGTAAAAATGTATGCACACATGACTGTAAGTCGCTTTGGATAAAAGCGTCTGCTAAATGGCATATTATTATTATACCTGAATTTAATCACTTAGAAGTTCATTGGCTATCTCTTTTATATATATAGAGTCAGTTGTCTCAGTGGTTCACAAGCTATCACAAAAGTCTCTGTGTTAGAATGAACAGCGTTCATTTTTATGTATCTTTCCAAACTGGTTATGTAGAGCATACGCCTAAAGCTTATATAGTTCAAAATGAACTCCACTGAATAGGGATAGCCTTTACATAATCTCTTTATAACCTTCTACTGTTTACTGTGTAGTTTACCTGGCTAATTGTTTTATGGCCTTTCAAAATGCCAGAGCTCATTGTTTAGTTAGTGATAAAATGGAGTTAGAGCTAGTGATTTTAAGTTATAAACATCTAATATTACAGGATTGGAAACTAGAGTAAAATTATAATAATCATATTCAGACCTCCTGTTTAAAGTTTATGACATACGGGTGGGAATGATGCTATTTACAACATGTTGTATTGTAAAATGTTATTATGGAGTGTCCTAAGTATTAATTTACCTGTTGTGTGTGTGTGTGTGTGTGTTCTAAACAGGTGGGTTGCCTTCGAGAACCCTGGGTTCTCCGGAGAACTTTACATTCTAGAGAAAGGCCTCTACGGAAGCCCAGAGGACTGGGGAGGACAGAACCTCCAGATATCCTCACTGCAGCCAGTCTTCCAGGTAAACAGAACATATTTACGCACAGTCCATGGGTGGACTAGGGAAAGACTATTGTACAATAATAATCACAGTAGTACCACCTTTGTAGTATCATACTTGATCATACTTAGAGTATACTTTCATGACTCTGATAAGTTATGAGGTTAGTGAAGAAACTTTGAACTGGTTTATCCATAATTCCTTTATTATTTTCAGGATATCCTGGGTGGATCATGCAAGTTCAAGGTAAGTTCTGATAGCGATAAACAAATAATATTAACTATCTTAACATAGTCTATAGTGTATGAATGTGATTATACCATCAATTTGCATGAAGAGTAGCCTACCTGTAATCCACTGTAGTTGTAGGTCATGTTTATCTCCTGTGTATGCACCTTAGCTCCAGCTGTTCTCAGAGCCTGGGTTCCAGGGCAGAGTGGTGGTACTGGAGGACAGTGTGGTAGCCCTGGAGGAAAACTTCTTCCCTGGCTCCTGTAGAGTACTGGCTGGGAGGTGAGCACAACATCAACTTTAAACACAGCATGTTCATTCTACTTGTTATAGAGTGACATTTAGTATACAGAAATGTTGGGCTTTCCTCTGGCAAAATATTTTATATCTGTTGACGAAGAAAATGTTAAAACGTTAGTTGTATATTACACTCAAAGTGGACTTAGTACTGGAGAGAGCTGTAGTTGACTGTGTGCCTCTGTGCTGTGTTCCAGCTGGGTGGCGTATGAAGGATCCCAGTTCACAGAGCACACTTATGTCCTGGAGGAGGGAGACTACCCCAACACTGAGTCTATGGGCTGTCTGGGTCCTGACTCTACCATCCGCTCCGTACAGACCATCAGCCATGTTGAGTACAGAGGAGATCCTGCAGTTATGTGTGTTGGCATGGCATGCATGCGTACCGTATTTGTAAACCTAAGTCATGTCTGTGTGAAGTGACTGCATATCTTGGAGATATCCTGTACCTACAATACCATAATGATGTATAGTCTCACACACTCCTTCCCCCTTGTCTCTCCAGGAGTTCTCCTTCCCGTCCATAACGTTGTTCAGTAAGGTTGGCTGTAGAGGCCGTAGGGTGGTGCTGACTGGAGGGGTGGTGAACCTGCAGCTGGCTGGGGTGGACGGATGCATACGCTCCCTGGTGATCGACGGAGGAATGTAAGTCACACCTGAATAGATTTGACCGTTTTTATTCGGCAATAAAACAGAACATTGTAAAGCAAGAGTTGCACCTACTATTCAAATTGGTTGATGAAGCACTGTCTAAGCACCTATTAATCCATCAACCAGTTTTGCTGGGTTATTGTAAACAGAAATGCTGTAGGAAGGTGGATTGTTTACATTTAAGGTGTGTTTGAGGTTTGTGTAAGTAGAGCAACTGACTGTGTGTGATTGATAATTCCTGACCTACAGGTGGGTGCTGTATGAGGGGAGTAATCACCGCGGCCGTCAGATCCTGCTTCCGCCCAGCAAACTGGGTGATTGGTGCAAGTTCAGCAGCTGGCCGCGAATCGGATCCCTGCGACCACTATTGCAGGTATGGAGGCGGGACATGCTGGCCAACAGATTTTATCTGGGAGTTTTCATTCAGTAGAGTTTTCAATACATTTATCTTAAGACATCCCTTTAAATACAGTGTATCTTTTAGTTAGAATTTTGTCAACAGGTTCACTACAATATATCGAGAGAATGGGTTCAAAATATTAGGGTCAATGAATGAAAGAAAGCCATCTAAATATATGCATATTCTGCTCCATTTCAGCACCAATTGTTAGATTTAAAATAGATTATTTAGGGTTAGGAACGGTGGAGGCTGCTGAGGGGAGGACGGCTCATAATAATGGCTGGAACGGAGCGAATGGAATGGCATCAAACACATGGAAATCAAGCATTTGCTACCATTCCAATATTCCGCTCCAGCCATTACCACGAGCCTGTTCTCCCTCATTAAAGTGCCACCAACCTCCTGTGGTTAGGAAAGCATTTATTCATCATAAAAAAACAGGTTTGGGGAGCATTTACGCACAAAATAAATGTAACCCTCTCACCAGGCTCGAATTTGACTCTCACAATATTACCTTATTTAGAATATCTGAACAGCATGGGATATTAGGTGAGAAGGACATCTCCAATAAGAATCCCTATTGTAAACTTGCTAGGGTGAATGACAAATAGGGTATTAACTTCAGATAGAATGATTATAGACTTGGTTATTATTATAAGGATATGCTTTCCCATGCATTAAATGAAACTGAAACAGTAAATGACTCCACCAATACAACAGACATAAGGTTCAAGATCTATATTAATCAAATGTTCAATGTATCACATCAAAAGAAATAAAAATAATAAACCCCAATGATTTTTCCACAACCCATGTCCAAATTATTTGCAAGCTTGCTTAAACCCTGGGCGCGCGTTGGAGCTCATAAAAAAAATTACGACATACATAAAGTCCCGAAGTCCACCACACATTTGTAGCTACTCACTACTTGTAGATAATGCCTCAGCAAAATATAGTAGTTCCGTGCAGGTGTCCTCACAAGATCCACAGCGAACACAGCTATCAATGCAGCCAGTACTCGGTAGCAGCAACAGACATCCGTTGGAAACCCGAACTCGTTGATCGTCACAAGCAATTCTCTCCAAGTCTTGCACGATGCTAGGCTAACCTCTAGGATGTCGAATGTCTCCACAATGCGACGGCAGCTTCAGTCTCTACTAGGTCTTTCTTAACGAAATAATAAACACTCTCTTATATAAATAAAATCAGGATTTCCCTTAAAAAAAACTCTGTAGGTATGGTTTTGTTCTCTCTTTATCGTTTCCTTTGGTCGTTTTTCCTTCACCAACCCCACTAACGTCTCTCCTCTCCCTTCTTTCAACCTTTCCCTCTCTTTTTCTATTCCCAGCAACCAGTCCACTCTCCCATTGGCCACAACTTAACAAGTTACCTCATTGGTCAAAACTTTAACGAGATACGTGGGAAACTTAAACTTAAAAGTAAACCAACCTATTCACTTGTACATTTTTTATAAACATTGCTTCAAAAGAAATGCATTAATGACATTACAAATCAGGAGCTATTCGATCACCTTTTAAATCTAATACCAATGAATTATAACAAATAAACTCTATACTTGGTTTTAGCAAGGTATTACATAAAAAAACATTGTTCTTCAACCTATGGTAATGTTGGAAGACTAGCGTACATATAATTATAATAGGGAGAATAGTGTACAATAGTAGGCTATACCATGGAACTGTGTGACGACACGGCCAAGTATTGCGCAACGTGTTGGGTTCAAACTGTTACGGCTTGGTCTGCGCTCTGCTCCATAATGATTTGATTAGCCTACATGTCTTTTTTATATATTATCAACTGTTACTAATGATCCTCAGAGGAAGCAAATTAAAGTAAACTAAATTATGTAATTAAATGTAATGATAATATATACCAACTGAAGGGAACTAACGGTAAATTGGCAGTTTAATATTTGTGGTTATTAAGCCTACTGACAGTCGATACTGATAGTGGCTAATATTTAACATGATAGAAATAGGAGAGTGCTCATCCCTGCCAGTTAAAAGGCCGTACAATTTACATTCTGCATAATGGCACATCAATTCATAAGCTTTACTGTGGGAAAGTTGTATGCTTCAGATTGCTGCCATATGACTAGTTTCACGTGTCTCCAGCGATTATAAGGTCAAATAGATCTAAAACAAGTGTCATTCATATTTAAAATTCCCTTATCCAAACGGATTAATCATATACCTAGCTCTTATCAATAGCTCTTATCAAGTTGTAAATTACAGTGAATGGAGTGTTATTTCTATCGGAAAAAATAAAATGAATGATTTTTCCACTTGCAACCAGTAGGTTCGCTTGACCTTATTCATGGTTTCCTTTACACGTACAGTTGAAGTTGGAAGTTTACATACACTTAGGTAGGAGTCATTAAAACTTGGGTTTCAACCACTCCACAAATGTCTTGTTAGCAAACTATAGTTTTGGCAAGACGGTTAGGACATCTACTTTGTGCATAACACAAGTAATTTTTTAAACAATTGTTTACAGACAGATTATTTCACTTATAATTCACTGTATCACAATTCCAGTGGGTCAGAAGTTTACATACACTAAGTTGACTGTGCCTTTAAACAGCTTGGAAAATTCCAGAAAATTATGTCATGGCTTTAGAAGCTTCTGATAGGCTAATTGACATAATTTGAGTCAATTGGAGGTGTACCTGTGAATGTATTTCAAGGCCTACCTTCAAACTCAGTGCCTCTTGCTTGACATCATGGGAAAATCAAAGGAAATCAGCCAAGATCTCAGAAAAAAAAATTGTAGACCTCCACAAGTGTGGTTCATCCTTGGGAGCAATTTCCAAACGCCTGAAGGTACCACGTTCATCTGTACAAACAATAGTACGTAGGTATAAACACCATGGGACCACGCAGCCGTCATACCGCTCAGGAAGGAGATGCGTTCTGTCTCCTAGAGATGAACGTACTTTGGTGCGAAAAGTGCAAATCAATCCCAGAGCAACAGCAAAGGACCTTGTGAAGATGCTGGAGGAAACAGGTACAAAAGTATCTATATCCACAGTAAAACGAGTCCTATATTGACATAACGTGAAAGGCCGCTCAGCAAGGAAGAAGCCACTGCTCCAAAACCGCCATAAAAAAGCCAGACTACGGTTTGTAACTGCACATGGGGACAAAGATCATACTTTTTTGAGAAATGTCCTCTGGTCTGATGAAACAAAAATAGAACTGTTTGGCCATAATGACCATCGTTATGTTTGGAGGAAAAGGGGGTTTCTTGCAAGCCAAATAACACCATCCCAACCGTGAAGCACAGGGGTGGCAGCATCATGCTGTGGGGGTGCTTTGCTGCAGGATGGACTGGTGCACTTCACAAAATAGATGGCATCATGAGGAAGGAAAATTATGTGGATATATTGAAGCAACATCTCAAGACATCAGTCTGGAAGTTAAAGCTTGGTCGCAAATGGGTCTTCCAAATGGACAATGACCCCAAGCATACTTCCAAAGTTGTGGTAAAATGGCTTAAGGACAACAAAGTCAAGGTATTGGCCATCACAAAGCCCTGACCTCAATCCTATAGTAAATTTGTGGGCAGAACTGAAAAAGTGTGTGTGAGCAAGGAGGCCTACAAACCTGACTCAGTTACACCAGCTCTGTCAGGAGGAATGGACCAAAATTCATCCAACTTATTGTGGGAAGCTTGTGGAAGGCTACCCGAAACGTTTGACCCAAGTTAAACAATTTAAAGGCAATGCTACCGAATACTAATTGAGTGTATGTAAACTTCTGACCCAGTGGGAATGTGATGAAATAAATAAAAGCTGAAATAAATCATTCTCTCTACTGTTATTCTGACATTTCACATTCTTAAAATAAAGTGGTGATCCTAACTGACCTGAGACAGGGAATGTTTACTGGGATTAAATGTCAGGAATTGTTAAAAACTGAGTTTAAATCTATTTGGCTAAGGTGTATGTAAACTTCAGACTTCAACTGTAAAGGTGGTGGATTTGTTAGGGAATTAAGTCAATGTCAGAATACTGCGTATCTGTTGATACACCTCCGCCACGCCTTCATTTATTTGATCTCCACCCTGGACGAATAGCGGATGAATAGCATGCTATTCTCATGCTTAAGTTCAAGGTCAGAATACGCATATGGAGAAAAGTGCATAAAAAAGGAATTGCATTCCATTTACGCTCACTTTACTCAGGTCAGAAAAAGCCCCCATATCGGACACATACAAAATAGCCTAATCTTCATGACTAATGTTCAAATTTAGACATCAGTGGACTGCATCCTAACATCTGTGTGTACAACTCAACTTCTGCACAAATCTCATTCAGTCATCAATGCAAGTTATTTTCTTGGGGGGGGGGGAAATGATATGCAGGCACAGCAAGTTACTATTTGGCCTTATGACTCATAATGACCACTTTTGGGTGAGAATAACTTATCTAGCCTAGTCTAGACAAGATCATATTATCCGTGTTGTTGCCCTCTACAGAAGCAGGTGTACTTCCGTCTGCGGAGCAGAGAGACAGGCTACGTGATGTCCCTGTCAGGGCCTCTGGATGACATCAAGCTGCTGCGGGTCCAGGCCCTGGAGGAGACTGGGGGAGTGGACCAGGTCTGGATCTACCATGATGGAGTCCTACACTGCAAGGTACTGCATGGGCTCAAGATTTTGCACTAGATCATCATTTCCACTCATTAACTCCACAGACATCCTTATTCATTCCATCATCACCACCTTCAAGCGTTCCAGAACTGGCTTCCTCATTATTTCAACATAGTTTCATGTCACGTGTTGAGCATATCCCAGTACAATTGTCGTTTGTCTCACATATAACATTTCAATTATCTGTACCATGCTTATAGGTTTGTATTCAATACAGAATCCACCAACATCTGAACACCTATTCCCTGTCTCTACAGCTGGTGGAGGACTGTTGCCTGCAGATCACGGGGAGCGTTGTCATGGCGGGCAGCAGGCTGTGTGTGTCTCCTCCAGAGCCAGGGAAAGACAACCAGCTGTGGAACATTACCCCAGATGGCCTGGTCCGATGCCACCTCAAACCTGATCTGGTGCTGGAGGTTAAAGGTCAGATCAGCTCTCCTGCTCTCGCTCTCTCAGCTAGCATCTATACTGAACAAAAATATGAATGCAACATGCAACAATTTCAATGATTTTACTGAGCTACAGATCATATAAGGCAATCAGTCAATAGAAATAAATTCATTAGGCCCAAATGTATGGAATCCACATGACTGGGCAGGGGCGCAGCCATGGGTGGGCCTGGGAGGGCATAGGTCTACCCACTTGGGAGCCAGGCCCAGCCAATCAGAATGAGTCCCCACAAAAGGGCTTTATTACAGACAGAAATACTCCTCAGTTTCGTCAGCTGTCCGGGTGGCTGGTCTTTCACGATCCCACAGGTAAAGAAGCTGGATGTGGAGGTCCTGGGCTGGGGTGGTTACACGTGGTCTGCGGTTGTGAGGCCGGTTGGATGTACTGCCAAATTCTCTAAAACGACATTGGAGGCGGGTTATGGTAGAGAAATTAACATTCAATTATATGGCAACAGCTCTGGTGGACATTCCTGCAGTCAGCATGCCAATTGCATGCTCCCTCAAAACTTGAGACATCTGTGGCATTGTCTTGAGTGAAAAAACTGCTCATTTTAGAGTGGCCTTTTATTGTCCCCAGCACAAGGTGCACCTGTGTAATGATCATGCCATTTAATCAGCTTCTTGATATGCCACAACTGTCAGGTGGATGGATTATCTTGGCAAAGGAGAAATTCTCACTAACAGGGATGTAAACAAATTTGTGCACAACATTTGAGAGAAATACGTTTTTTTGCGTATGGAAAATGTCTGGGATCTTTTAGTGGGACCAACACTTTACATGTTGCGTTTATATTTTTGATCAGCATACCAGCATACCAGCTCCCGAGTGGCGCAGTGGTCTAAGGCACTGCATCTCAGTGCTTGAGGCGTCACTACAGACCCCCTGGTTCGATTCCAGGTTGTATCATAACCGGCCGTGATTGGGAGTCCCATAGGGCGGCGCACAATTGGCCCAGCGTCGTCCGGGTTTGGCCGGTGTAGGCCGTCATTGTAAATAAGAATTTATTCTTAACTGATTTGCCTAGTTAAATAAAGGTAAAATAAAATAAAAAAGAGTATAGGAGCTCTGACGTTCAGCTCAGTCCCTGTTATCTGGCTCCATCTGGTGGTAGGTTTAGGAAGTGTTTAGTTAGTTATTTGCATTACCCATCTGTTGCCGTGCCATTGAATAGATAGCCTACACTAAACTGTATAATGTCTTCTACTCACAGGTGGACAAAGTTATGACAAAACTCAAGTGATTCTCAACACATTTGATGAGAGAAAACACAACCAAAGATGGTCTTTGGAGATCCTGTAATATAGTGTCAATAGGCCCTTCAACAGCAACTCTGACTTGGGCTTCAGAACTTCTGGTGCAGTTCTGCTGTGGGCCTCAGATTCCTCTGGTGCAGCTAAGCCAAGGGTGTTAGACCTTTCTTGCATCATAAAGCCATGGGACTCAGAGCTCTGTGATGCAGCTCCACCGTGGGACCCATACTCTTATTTCTTTATGAAGTTCCTCAATGGGCCTTAATGCTCTGTGATTCTAGTCTGCAGTGGGCCTCGAGATATTCTGCAAAATGTGTTGAGCTTGTGCGCATCCATATTAGACTGTCTTTGTGAAACACATCTATAAACTAGTAACCTACACATTTCCAAGTCACTGCAAAGAGAAAGAAACCAAACAACATGCGGCTACAGAACTATCTATAGAGCAAGGGCGGCAGGTAGCCTAGCAGCTAAGAGCATTGGGCCATTAACTGAAAGGTTGCTGGTTCGAATACCCGAGCCGACTAGGTGAAAAATGTCGATGTGCCCTTGAGCAAGGCACTTAAACCTAATTGCACCTGTAAGTTGCTCCAGATAAGAGCATCTGATAAATGACTAAAATGGAATACGTTTGTGTCTCTACTATATTCATAGCCTTTACAATTAGTTAAGTGTGCTTCACCAGTCAATTACTGAAATGTATATTTTTTCACACAAGGGTTATTCTATGAAGTCACACATTCTTAATGTCATAGATGAACACTCCTTGAATTCTCGAAATTATACGTTTTGTGTAGATATGTTGTTAACACTTTACACCCAGCATCATAACACGTTATGACACGGTCATAACCATGTCATAATATGTTATAACACCTACATAAGAGTGTCAAAACCCATAAAACCTACCATGGTAGTTATTTTATGGCTGGTTATGACACCTATATAAGAGTGTGAAATACCACAAAACCTACCACACAAGACAAAACATTCCATTACACCATAGCCTACTTGTCAACAGTTTAATTGACCATATTAAATTATCATTGTAATTGCACACACATTTATGTCAGACATGCAGCTACCCCAATGCTCTGTTTCTGATGACTGGGATGAATGCAGGAGCAGATTTCAGGAGCAGGACAAGACACCCTCTTTGTGACTGATGACTGACATAAGGGCATGTACGTGATAGGCCTATCTGGCTTATATGATTATGATGGTAATAATGCTTCTTAACAGTGTCATAAAGTGTATTTTCTTAGTCCAAGTAAAGTGACACAGGATGGTCAAAATGCTTTATAACAGTGTCATGAAGTTTATTTTCTACAAGTTATTTCAAATAAGATTTTTTTTAAATGACTGCAAAGTATTCATTACAACAACAAAGGACTTAAGAAACAAACTTTCAAACGAAAGGAAACTGTGGGTTTTGACACTCTTATGTAGGTGTCATAACCAGCCAAAAAATAATGCAATATGTTATGACCATATTATGTTATGTCAGTTATGATATATATATTATGACATGGTTATGACAGTGGCATAACGTGTTATGACGCTAGGTGTCAAGTAAAGTCAAGTAAAGTGTTACCGATATGTTTTTTAATGTTTCATAAGTACTTTTCTTGTCTGTATGTATTTATACTTTACTACACACATCACTGCACAGAACATTAGCTGCAGCAGGTATATATGTCATATGTCAAATGATTAAAGATCCATTTCAACACTGTGCTGCAATATCGTGCTAACCACTGTCTTAAATGTAATGTCAACAAAATGCTGTTACGATCTATAAAAAATAAATGTTTTTTCTTTTCTTGATTTGTGGTATGTTGTTGAGGCATCTCAATGACACTTCCAAAGTCGAGGACTTGAATTATCTTCAACTTCCTTAACACATCAAATACAACAGCTCTATACTCAGACAGATACACACTCATAACCTTAGCACAGACAATCCTAAATGCAGTCATCAAAATTATCTGACTGAAACACACCCAGCATTTCCATATCAGGCCACGCTCTATGCCCACAAGTCTGGTTGTCTCTCAGAAATGCCTCAAGATGGAGGCCTAAGGAAAACCTTCGCATTTGTAGGAGTGGCATTGGTAGGTGTTTTTCCCCTGCGTTTTTAGGAAACACTTAGCGGCAGTGGAGTCGTCCAGTGGTTCGTCGGATGAGTCCTCTCCGCTGCTGATTTTGACCACAGTTTTCCTCTGAGCGTGATCCTTCTCTTTCTTCAGCATGGCCTGAGGCACCTGGGAGAAGGTAAACTCCTCCTCCACCAGGAACAGGAAGTCACACGGAGTAAAAAAAACCGAACCTGACTTTAGAGCTCTGTGAAGGGTCAACGGTCGGGATTAATCAAAGGCTTGTTGTCAATAAGCGCATTGCACTTGACTTTTAAAGATAATTTATGCTTGAGCCGACATCCTCAGCATGCAAATGTTGGGGAGATTGTCTTTTAAAGGCAAAATTGTCTGTAGTGTAGTGCGCAGGGCTGCAACACACCGTTGAATGAATCCAGGCCATCTTCCAAAAAATTAATGAATAATAGATAATAGAAAAAGATGAGGTGAGATATGGTGTTTATCTGTCAACACAGTAGCATACATTGATAAATGGCTGTGGTGATGATTAGACCAGCACACCGGTTTCTAGTTCCTCTTCTACACAGAATGACCTGATGTGTACCTCGTTGTGGATTGGAGAAACTGGATGTTCTGACATCCTTCGCAGACCGCAACCTATGATGCACACCAACACCGTACACAACAACACCCTGGTCAGCCTCACCTGAACTGTCAAAGCTGCTCTCATCGTACGTAGTATCGTGTATTTGAAAACGTGGAAAGGAAACAGATCACTAAAGAGAAGATTACGTCATTGATACAGTATACTGCATAGTCTTTCTCTAACCTAACATTGTAATGAAGTAAGGCCTATGTCCTCCCACTCAACATACACATTTGCATCCTGTTGTGTTTGTTGTCATGCAAAACGTACAAACAGTATGGTATAGCAACCAACAGAGAATCTGGTGACCAGGCTAGCTGTTGCTGTTTCATCAGAACAAAATGGAGCCATGATGTCATGGTGGAACGCTTCCATAATGCCCAGGCAGACAGGAATCTGTTCTGCTTCCAGGCTGGGGAGCGGACCCGGGGGCCCCGACAGGGCCACAGACAAAGGGCCTGAATAAAGGGACTGGATTAGGGTCCTAGCACCAGGATTACACTGGCATTCCAGCCTGGCTGGTCAGCACAGCCCGAGACAGCGGTTCATCATCTGGTCTGTCCGTCACTGACTGACCATACCAAATCAAACATAGCCTGCCTCACTGCCTGTCTGACTGAGAGAGTAGAAGAGGTGTGTGGTGTGTGTGTGTGGCTTCAGACAATTGAAATGGCTGAAGCTTACTGATGAACTTCCTCCACTTGGACAAGGGGGTCATAAAAAGCCCACTATTGACCAATATAATGTGCCACTATTGACCAATGTCATTCCACCCTAGCCGCAATATGCCGCAATATGACACCTTTTGCCAACCATATGAACTGTAATAACATCATTGTTGTCTTCAGCTTTACAAATACAGTGGGTGCCCACTGACCTGCTGGCACGGTGTGTCACATCCCCCTTAGGCAAACACCCATCCAGGTCTTTTGGACGTCTCACTCACCCTTTTGTGTCAACACTCCCAGAGATGATCAAGTATCACCAAGCTGCTCCACTGTAGGAGGTGTTAGATAAGAATATGGCCTACTTACCTACTGTCAGTGTGTGTCTGTGTGTCTCTGTCTGTGTGTGTGTGTGTCTGTGTGTGACTGTACGCGCATGTGTGTGTCCGACTGACTAATTGACGTAATCATATTAATTGACTCACACTAATATGCCAGTGTGAGAGGCTTTTGGCAGAAGTTGGTGGGGAATGCCCAAACTGCCATTTTAGGAATGTGGTTCAATATTGTTCATTGACTGTTCAGTTCAGCCTCTTTCATTCAATTGGACCGTAATCATCTCCACCGCTGAATAGGGATGGTACAAAAATAAGGTTATAAAGGACAACACATAAAGATAGGAAAATACATTTGCAATTCAGCTTTGTTTCATTCTTCTAAACAGAGAATGAGAGTAAAAGACTATGAACATCCTGATGATCTTCTTGCTAGTGGCTGTTTTAGGCATTGCTTGTAAGTCTTCTGAATAAAATTAATTCCTAAAAGGCAGTATATGCGTAAATTAAACTGTTTTTGTAAACTGTAAAAACTTGAGAACTGTGCTATATTGAAGGAAATTACATTACATTTACGTCATTTAGCAGACGCTCTTATCCAGAGCGACTTAAAAATTGGTGCATTCACCTTATAGCCAGTGGGATAACCGCTTTACAATATGTATTTTTTTTTTTTTGGGGGGGGGGGGGGGGGGGGTAGAAGGATTACTTTATCCTATCCCAGGTATTCCTTAAAGAGGTGGGGTTTCAAGTGTCTCCGGAAGGTGGTGAGTGACTCCGCTGTCCTGGCGTCGTGAGGGAGCTTGTTCCACCATTGGGGTGCCAGAGCAGCGAACAGTTTTGACTGGGCTGAGCAGGAACTGTGCTTCCGCAGAGGTAGGGGGGCCAGCAGGCCAGAGGTGGATGAACGCAATGCCCTCGTTTGGATGTAGGGACTGATCAGAGCCTGAAGGTACGGAGGTGCCGTTCCCCTCACAGCTCCGTAGGCAAGCACCATGGTCTTGTAGCAGATGCGAGCTTCAACTGGAAGCCAGTGGAGTGTGCGGAGGAGCGGGGTGACGTGAGAGAACTTGGGAAGGTTGAACACCAGACGGGCTGCGGCATTCTGGATGAGTTGTAGGGGTTTAATGGCACAGGCAGGGAGCCCAGCCAACAGCGAGTTGCAGTAATCCAGACGGGAGATGACAAGTGCCTGGATTAGGACCTGTGCCGCTTCCTGTGTAAGGCAGGGTCGTACTCTCCGAATGTTGTAGAGCATGAACCTACAGGATCGGGTCACCGCCTTGATGTTAGCGGAGAACGACAGGATGTTGTCCAGAGTCACGCCAAGGCTCTTTGCACTCTGGGAGGAGGACACAACGGAGTTGTCAACCGTGATGGCGAGATCATGGAACGGGCAGTCCTTCCCCGGGAGGAAGAGCAGCTCCGTCTTGTCGAGGTTCAGCTTATTTTATTTTTCTGGTAATTCCAGATGGAATACAAGAGAGATCTGCATCTCTATATTTATTTGTCATTAGTGGGGAGAGGGTGCAGAAACCTTCCTTGGTTCTGGTGATACTGATTTTGTTCCTTGGTTCTGGTGGTACTTACAATGCAAAAATGGTGTCCCATTATGAATTTCAAACACATTCCAATTACTGTATTCCTGTAAAATATAGTAGGGGCAGTAATTTTCAATGTTTTACATACAGCTATAAATGTTGGTGTTGAGTATTTTTCCAAACCAAATCTACTGGTTGCTTTCTCTTTCAGATGCTGTAAATGGTAAATGATACTGGCCAGAGTATTGACAATGGCCACTGAGGATCCCATGGAACATTCAACAAGATTAGTAGGGCGGCAGGTATCTTAGTGGGTAAGAGCGTTGTGCCAGTAACCGAAAGGTTGCTGGTTCTAATCCCTGAGCCGACTAGGTGAAAAGTCTGTGCCCTTGAGCAAGGCACTTAACCCTAATTGCTCCTGTAAGTCGCTCTGGATAAGAGCGTCTGCTAAATGACTAAAAATGTTTTAAAAAATTAGGGACTAGGGGCTAGTAAGGGGTGTTAACCCCTGTGTCTTGGCCAAATGCCCAACCGGCATCTCTTAGGCTGTGATTAGACATACAGCCCAATTCTGATATTTTTTCCACTAATTGACCAATCACATCAGATCTTTTCACATCAGATATTTTTCAGAATTGGGCTGCCTGTCTAAACGCAGCCTTACTGTCATAGCCATCTATAATCCATCTCTTTTGGTGTGAATTGACTATCGCTGTTTAACTTCTCTTCATGATTTGTATCTATCCATGGTTTATCTGAGCAGAATAAAATGGTTAAAAACACTGTATTTCTGTTTTTTTATTATACAACACTACAGCAACATTGAAAACTATTCAAACACGTTTTCTTGTGGCACATGAAGTAGGCCAGCCTAGGCCCATGCCTTGTCGTTTTGCATAGAGTGTCTAGGCAATGCCAAAACGGCCATATTAGGAATGTGGTTAAATTCAGATTAGGACTGATAACAAGCATTAGCATTAAATGCCTGCCTTACAAGGAATTGACTTAAATTATGTTTATTGTAGCTTTAATCACTACATCATTTTGTTTTATAGCAAATTCATTTTTAAAAAGCAGTATATGTGTAGAAGCTCCTCTTACTTATTTAAATTATACAGGTGAGCAGCCATCTTGTTATACTGTAAAAACATGGACAATCAGTCAGAACCTTGATAACTGTATTTGGCAGAAAATCATCTCTACTTTGCATTGCTGTGCAGAAGGCCAGAAAATACCTTGATGACATTGGCAAAGAGGGATGTGGATGCGAGAAAAAGTATCTTTATCAATGACCGAAACTGACTTGATATAAAAAAATGTGAACCCCTTTATGAATTTTAAACATTACTGTAGGCCTTTAGGGGTATTATTATTCAATGTTGAGTTTTCTAGACAGTTATGAATGTTACACATTTGTCCAAATCACATTTATTGGTTTTCTCTTTCAGATGATAGACAACATGGTCTTGACGCTGGTCACTGAGGATCCCATGGCACATTCTCCTAGAGTAGGGATGTTAATCCCTGTGTCTTGGCTAGATTCCGTACTTGGCAATTCATACTATCATGGCCAACTAGTCCACCTCATTTGATTCTACTATCTCTGTTTGAACTTCTCGTCTTGATGTGTGCTTTTATGCTGCAGAATAAAATGGCAGTGAGAAAACATTATTTGTTCAGTTTTATAACTTTAAAATCAAAGCCAAAAAGCGAATAAATTGGGTTTAAGAGATTGTGAAGTAGGAGAAGTAGTAAGTAAGCCTTTTCCAAGCCAGAACACCCATAGGGATTGAGAAACGGGTCAAATTTAGCTGATTAATTTACTTCCCCCTTTGAGAGAACTTCTATATTGGGAGTTGTAGCCCCGTGTAGCTCAGCTGGTAGAGCATGGCGCTTGCAACCGCAGGGTTGTGGGTTTGATTCCCACGGAGGGCCAGTATGAAAATGTATGCACTCACTAACTGTAAGTCGCTCTGGATAAGAGCGTCTGCTAAATGACTAAACTGTAACATGTAAAATTAGTTGCACTAAATTGCTCTCCTCACCAAACCAACATCCTTCATCCCTCCCTGGTTATGGCAGCATAGCGCTCAGTGCAGGAGCCAGGCCATTGGGTGGTTCTGAGTCCCTCCCTCTGTTGATGCTGAAGACTGAACCAGTGCCGTCCAAATTGCAGCCCATGTCCAAGGAGGAACTGAGGCTTGTAGCTGGGGGACCAGGGTGGAGGAGGGTGTGTTCCAGCCTGGTGCTGCTCTTCTGACTGGGTTGGCTGGCCATGCTGGGTGCCACTATCGTCATCATAGGACAGGCATGGATCCCTCGGCCAGTTCCACCACTTCTTCTCTGGTGGCAGAGGACACTATTCTACCGCCTGCAGCTAGCCTCATTCCTGGACACAGAGAACGAGGGACCAGGGGGTATCAGCATGCCCTGCCTGAAGTCCCTCGGGTGTGGGCTCTGATTCTGGAGGGGCGTCGGTACATAGAGATGGACGAGGGAGTGGTGACAGTGGCTCAGATCCAATGGCTTCTCATGGAGAACCAGGCAGCAGGCCTCAGAGTTGTGTTGGACCTTTGTAACCTAGACCTGCTCAAACCACAGGACCCTGAACGCAACGACACAGAGGTTCCCTCTGGCCTCTCCGGGTCAATACAGTATGCCCTCCGATACTGGTTGGAGCAGGAGGTGGCAGGGTTTGGAATCTGTGACATTGACCCTGTGTATTCAGAGCAGAATCTGAAAGAGTGGAGAGTTGTGGTCCAGGAGTTCAGCTCAGAGGATGATGAGAGTATTGTGATGATGAGACAGATAGGAGAGTCTCTACCTGCCTTGAATGGCTCCAGCACCTCACTCAACAGCTCATTGGTAGTTAGAGGTCACTGCTGCTGCACGCGAATCATGTCATGTCCGGATAGGAAGTGGTCGTTGCCGTGGAGAGACCCCTGCAAACACTCCAGGGAGACATTTGGACGAGTCTGATGGTGGGCAGTGGTGAAGCATCATGGGGGCTGCAGAGGGTACCCATGGTTCTGGTGATGACATTACCTGGAACCCCTGTTGTCAAATACGGCAAAGAAATCATCAATTTACAGAGGATGTCTGTAGAGAGCAGGGCACATGATGCAGACCAGACCAATGGACAGGGGGATCCCCAGGGGGAAAAGGGAAAACTCAAATCCTCCATCTTGGATTTCTTCCACTCCCTCAGTCACAATCCTCCATCTTGGATTTCTTCCACTCCCTCAGTCACTCCCGATCCAGAGAGGAAGTCCTCCTTTTCAGCATCTTCACCTTCCTCCCTTTCAATACTTCCTCCGTCCCCCTCTCCTTCTCCACCTCCTACCCATCCCAATCCTCGCCCCCGGTGCTGGCCTTTCTACGCTCCTGGGGCTGTGTTCACTTCCTGGTTGTGTTGAACCTGTGGCCTGTGGCCCAGAGCCTGAAACAAGCCTGGACTTCCAGCCTGCACCTGTTGGACGGTTTGTGACCAGCTCGGGGCTGGACCACCTGGGCTCAATCTCCCTGGAAACACTGAAGCTTCAGCCACAGGAGGCCGTCGTCATCAAACAGGGATATGATTTAATGCAGTGGAGCCCCCGACGGGTCGGCAGGAGTAGCAAGGAAGGCATTTTTAAGGAACCCAGTGCGGCTTCAACTTAAAAACGTGAAAGTTGTAACAGTAGAATGCACAAGGTGCAATTTCGAAATTGGGTAGTGCAGCATCAGTTTTCCTCTTGTCCTGTTAGTCATTGCATACCTTAGAGAGCTATTTATAACATGTCAGAAATGTCCAGAACAACTAGCCCATGTCAACAAAACATTTTTGCTAGGTTTTTTTGCCCATTGATTTTGTTGTAATGTTTGAGTCACTTAAATATCACATGAACACATAAGACATGGCAAAATGTGTAGAATTGCAGGAAATTTGCTTTAAAGTGGCAACAAGCAAAACAGGTCTCCGTCCCATGGCAAAATGTATAGAATTGCAGGAAATAAGATTTAAACCTGCAAGATTACGCGGGATGTTCCCGAATGCTGGAAGGGGGGCCTGAGTGAAAAAGTTTGGGAACCCCTAATTTAATGGACTATAAATAATTCACATAATTTGTACAGTAATTTGAAATTAATTCTGTGAATAAAGTTTCAGCATTTAGTTTCATTTCAGTGTTTACTCATTAGCATTTTTACAAATCAACTTCCTTGTTGCTGTAAAATACCTTATTTGGCAGAAAGTGTTTTGGCAAGGACAAAACTGCCATGTAAGGAACATGGTTAAATTCTGTTCATTTGCTGGTGCCAGGAAGAGGCATATTGTGATTGTCTTTATCATGATTCAATCATGATTCATCAGTACTAAAACAAGTCTATAAAATACACAAAAAATTAGACAGGAGAGAAACACTAAATTGTATCTTTGTTCGATTCAGATTTTAAAAAGTTAGCCATTGCTAGTAAGTATTAATCTGTATTCAACATTTCTTGGATGGTTGTATAGTTTAGTATTGTACCACTAACCATTCAGTCAGGATGCTTTCAGCTCCTGTTATTCAGCTTGACTACAGTTATAAAAGGGAAAATAGCTGGTGGCTCAACAGAGAAAGTGCACGTTAACCACCATCTCGCAGATGTCATCAAGGGCGGGTCCATTGGGCGCAAACTTCCCCCAGCGATATAATCACAAGGAGAAGAAGAGAGATGAACAAGGTTAAACAGGAAACCACATGCAGTATACGTGCCAGACTCATGATTCATTGGTGCTTTGTTACGCTCAAATAAAATAAAGACATTGATGTTGGTGTTTTGTATGCTCAAATAAAACAAAGACATTTATGTTGGTGTTGTTGTCCACCCTTACACAGACTAAAGTGCAGATGCTTAAGTAAAGATTGGTGTCTAAGATGTACTGTATACCATATCTCATTCAAACTGTCCATAATTAGGTCAGAGTTTATTACCAGTTTATAACTCACTCCTAACTATGGGTCTGTAAAATAGAAACATTCATATGTAGATGGCCATCTCGGTCTGAATCTCTGATTACATTTTCCTTCGTTGCATGTGGTATACGTGGTTTATAATTCTATAGTCATTACAAATGCATTGGTTTTATTTTTGCAGTCGATCACTCACTATACCATTGTGAGGCAGTGTAGGCACACACAAGGCAAGACACCGACCCACACAGACACAATGGCCTCCCTGGCTGTACCTCCTACCTTCTGTCACAGACACCATACACACAAACACGCATGCACACATCCGCAAACGCACACAGTTTTGGTTTTTAATGAGGTGACATTCTAACCAAAAGAGGACTGCCTAAGTCTAAGGGCCAAAGTGAAACACCCCTCTTTCATTATTCATTGTGTTTCCCAGCATCGAGATGGGATTCCCAGCTCCATTCCAAAAGCAAAAAGGAGACGGCTGAGTGCTAAGGTTTGTGGGTCGTGTCTCTGGAGGGCGTGATCCAGGGGAACGTTACTCAACATAAAGCCTTGGGGAAGATAATAAGATTGTAATGAGGACATTTCAACTGGAAGACCAGTTGTCGGCGCTCTAGTTTTTTCCCCTAACTTTCAGACCTCTGCGTACACTGTGTGTGCACTATGAACACTAAGAGTTTGCGAAGAAAGAAATGTTGGAACTGATAAGGTGTGTCATTTCCTGTCTGTACTCACAGACTACATCCGCCATCCATTATTTTCCACTTTGAGCTTCTGCTTTCACTGCTGCTCAATTATTTATTCTACCAGTGCCCAAATCTCTGCTCTGTGGCCACATACAAACCTATGACGCACACAGTTAACAGAGTTTCAATGGTTGGAAGGAGAAAGACATCTTGTTGAGAGCCACTGTATGTGAATAGGATAGCCTCTATTCCTTTGAAACTCATTTTGACACCTGTCACACAAGGTCAACATTCCGTAGCTGTATTAGTAATATTAAAACAAAAGATGCCTCCAAAGTGTCCAATCACCAAACCAAAGGTAAAAATGTAAACATTAACCAAATCTGTTACGTCTGCCTCTGTCAGTCCTGCCTGAGGGCTGTTTCCATGGATATGCTAGGCCAGGGGTTGGGGTTGAGAAGCTAACTGTACCCCGTTGTAACATGCTCTCTCTGGGGACAGAGGCCTTCTCTCTACCCAAACTACCCAAGGCCCACTAATACTGGGCTGGCTGCGAGATCAGCTCGACGCTCCCACAACAATGGAGCCAGCTTTGTTTCCCTAAAGCCTGGGGGGCATGTTTTCACCAACAGCAGGATGTAGGCTATTGAGTGGTGAAGAGCCTATCCAGAACCTTTTATCATTTTATGGCAGTGTTGGCCCAGCACAGAGGGCCCAGGGGGCTCCATTACTGGTGAGGAGAAGCCAGGGAGAGGAGAGGAGATGCCACTAAAGACACATGGTTTACAGATCTGGTTGCACTTTGTCTTGGAAATGAGAGATCATATGAGTGAGTGGAGAGAGACAGGGTGAGGAATAGAGGGGAGAAATAGGGGGAGACAAGTCCGTGTTCAAAAAGTGATAGACGGTATGGGGGTGAGATAGATAAGGTGTGTTTACACTTTACTCCCCCCACCTCTTCTATATTCTAGCCAAGGTCTGTCTCTTTCTACTGTCAACATTGCTACGGGACAAACCCCATGGATCAGATCCACAGTGCCATTATACCTATAGTGGGGGACAGGAACAGTGCATGTTTCCATGGGGCTCCCCCCAGACAAACCATGTCTTCACACACATCCACCTCATCTTAAGTTGCTATTTCCCAGAGTAAATGGTTTTCCATTTCCATTACTAGAAACTACTACAGTACTGATAAAGTGATTACCTTATGGCACTGGACTACCATTAATGACCCACCACCTGGATTCGATCCTATGTAGAAAAAAATTGAAATTGTATTTTGTACATTGGATAAAAAAGTATGGTATATCATACACTGCAGTTGAGGAACACATTTTGTGTTCAAGTCCTACCTATCCTTGCTACAGTATTTCAGCAGTAATAAATTTAATCAGCACAGCTCTGGTTCTCCCCGATGAGACTCACTTAAACATACAGCTATGAGTACATCTTGTGGATCGTGTGGTGATGTGGTGGGTGGGAGTATGAAAAAGAGAGAAAATAGGCACGCACAAAACCTCAAATGCACTGCACATTTTGCAGTCTGTACACCACAAATGCCAACAGGATGTCGGTGTTACTTTGTCAGGGCGGGATGACAAGCAAGGGGAGTGAGATTAGGTCTTGCCTTATAAGGGGACATTTCAGACGTCTTGTAAGTGCTTACTATACATGTTCATGGTAGAGGTTTTATATGGTTCTGTAGTCAACCTGTATTAACAAAGGATACATTCAATGAAATACAGAAACGCTGCAATGGTTACCATGAGTCCTTTGGATGCCACGGAGACCCCGGTCTGGAGCATTCCATCAGCGATGCCCAGCAGGTCGGTGTTCCGAAGGAAGGGCGTTACAAGGGTTACGTACTTGGTGCCACACCACTGCTTCAGCAGGCCCAGAGCCCAGCTCTTTGTGTCCCAACCCACATTATCCAGAACTAGATCAAACCTAGGACGGGGGGAGAGAGAGAAAGAGAGGGAGAGAGAGAGAGAGCGGGAGAGAGAGATAATTTCATTAATTGGAGGGACGTATTTTCCCACACACTAATGAGAGTTTACTGTGGCTGTGAGAGAGAGGTGCCCAATCCTTGATTACAGTTAACTGACCCATGGGGAACACTCCTCATCCTATTCAGATAAATGCCACCACGGAGGTTTTAAAGGGATGCTGCGAGATTCTTTGTTCTACTTACCCAGAGTCAGATGAACTTGTGGATACCATTTGTATGTCTCTGCGTGCAGTATGAAGGAAGTTAGTGATCGTTTCGCGAGCCAATGCTAACTATCATTAGCGCAGTGACTGGAAGTCTACAAGTAGCATTGCTCTGGGTAAGTAGAACAAGGGCTTAAATGCCTGAATCTCGCAGTATCCCTTTAAAGTGTGTCTGCGTGTGTGTGTGCGTGTTTGTGTGGGCTCACTTTTCCCGCACCCTCAGGGGCACCTCAACAGGCCCAGCTGTGTTGTCCACCACGTGCACCGCCCCCAGCCCCCTCACCAGCCGCTCGGCATTCTGGGAGCAGGTTACTGTCACATGGGCTCCCCAGGCCTTCAGCTTCTGAAACACACCACCACAGTCACTCTTTGCGAGGGTGCAGCCGGTACACATATCATCTCTTATAAGAGGAGAGAGCAGATGTACCAGCTCTGAATCACTCTAATGTGAGATAGATGTGCAGATTGAGGTCACAGTGATGGGTTGGGGTGACACACTAGGACACCCGAGCCCAGAAACACGTATAATGTTACTGACACAAATATAAACAGTTTTTTATGGAACAGAATTGATATGTCATTGTTTATTTGTTATTAAGGCTCTTTCTTTTGCACCATTGTTTGTATTATGTCCATGTAGCGCA